AATAGAACGCAGCAGCAGTTTTCTGTCGGGGATTTGTCGTATCGTGCCGCGCCGCATCCAGTGTAGACCATAGATATGTATATATATATCTAAGGTGTAGACAGCATCACTGATTATAATGAGTTCCATAGTATTTTGTCGCGCCGCACCACTCGCGTCCGGTGTAGACACGGTGTAAAATAGGTTTTGCTTTGTTTCACAGAACTAATCGTTGCCTGGGTTGTGTACGTATGTGTGGGGCGGAGCTATCAAAATAGGGGCGAGACCCTTTTGGGGTAGGGGCGTGTTTGTTTTGGTGATTTCAAATGTCAACATTGGCTACCAGAAATCGCTTACACCACCTTTAAGAGTGTTCTGGTGTTAAAAACAGCTAGATGGAGCGCAACGGAATTGAACAGAAGGCACGTTTATAGGTGCATTAGCGCCAACACACCGTTACGTAAACACTCTATTCACTTGAGATTCTTCAAGAGAGCCTGTAATACCTTGATAAAGACACCATTCACATCCATCTAAATGGCAGTTTTCCCCTGGAAGTGTGCAATTTGAAATATGCCATTTTCCTTATGGAATGCACAAGTTTTGAATCAATTAACAGAGTTGTATATGTCTGATGGCAAAATTCCAAACCTATGAGGTTTTAAGAGGCCTTAAAGGGATAGTTCACTCAAAAATGAAAATTCTCTCTTTAAATGCTCACCATCAAGGTATTCCAAACCCGTAAGATCTTCACTCATCTTCGGAACACAAATTAAGATATTTTTGATGAAATCAGAGAGCTTTCTGACTCTCCATAGACAGCAACACAACTAACAAATTCAAGGCCCAGAAAGGTAGTAAGGACATTGTTAAAATAGTGCATGTGACATCAGTGGTTCAACCGTAATCTTATGAAGCTACGAGAATACGTTTTGTGTGCAATGAAAACAAAAATAATGACTTTATTCATAAACCGAAGATGAACGAAGGTCTTACGGGTTTGCAACGACAAGAGGGTGAGTAATTAATGACAGAATTTTCATTTTTGGGTGAACAATCCCTTTAAAAAAAGAACCTAAGGCAACAACTAAATTGTAATGAAGAAAATAGTTATTTCATAAAAGAGTACATGACTACATTTGACATGGCAATGTTTGGGCATAGCAAGAGAGCAAAAGTGCAAATTCTACAGTACCTTAAAAAAAGTAGCAGGCAAAGAAGGCATAGTAAGCAACTTGAGGTTAAGTGCCTTGCTTATGCCAAGTTCACACTGCACGATTTTCAAAGACGTCGCATCACTGTTGGTTTCACACTGAACGACTATCTGGGCTAGCATTCAGCTGTTGCTGTGTTCACACTGCACGATGGAACGACGACAGGAGGTTACACACTGCATGACTTTACAATAGGAAGAATCGCGGACAGCTCTGTCTGGTGCAGGGTTGCCAGGTTTTCGCTACAAAACCCGCCCAATTACTACTCAAAACTAGCCTGAAAATAGCCCAATTGCTTTCGAGGGGTCCCCCAGTAAAAATCGCGTTCGGGGGGTAAAATAACAAATTTTTTGGCGGGGTTCTCCTGGTACAATTCACATTCCAGGGCCTAAATATCATGTTATTGGGGTCGCTTCAACCTGCTGACATAAAAAACAACCGGCAGCAATCGCGGATTTGGCAACACTATGTTTCATATAACTCCTCCCAGAACTTCCCTCTGCCCTGTATCGTGCTGTCTCATTGGCTGTAGGTCATCACCGATGTGTTTTTCAGTCAGAACTCATTTCGCAGAGCGCGATTGTGAATCGCCGGCAGCTCCAGATATTTAGCATGCCAAATATTTCACGGGCGTCGGC